TAAGATACCCTCCTCACACTAAAATTCTCAAGTTTGCTATCATAAACGTAATAACAATGGGCGAATGAAAGCGGTAAACCAGTGAGATAAGAAACGGAACGTTGAGGGCGGGATAATCTGAAGAGTTTGATGAAGTAGTCTGTAGATAGGAAGGTAAAAATAGGATCAAAAGTTTTATAGAAGAGAATTGAGACAAGAAAATATGGGATATGTAAATCTAATAGGACAGCAGACGCTAAAATTTCTTAACAGAAAGTTGGTAAATGAATAGACTTAATTTGAAGATGAGAAGTTTAGAGTTAATAATTGAAAGACCTTCCCTAATGCCAGCAAAAAATCTCGGATCACACTAAGGCATAGATTCTATGCCAGAAATATTAGTGTTTGAAGACGCAGTACGAACTTCGAGGTCCGCTTGACAATACGACCAAGGTAAAATTAGCTCAGACCAATTACAAACAGCGAAAAGAGATTGCGGCCGAAATAAAAGCGATAAAATCTAGGTATTTATACTTTCGACCAAATCAAAGACAATGTTCACATAATGAATAGGAGTATATCCACATAAACCGGCTTAAAAATTAAATAGAGAATTGATAAGTAATAGAACCGAACAAGGGAAACATTTCGAACAAAATTTTGGAAAATAATTTTTATTACTATTACTTCTAAAAACTACTTCAAGGTCTTTAATTTTAAGATTAGACTCTCACTATTTATATGTATATATATATATATATATACACAAATATATATGTGGCATTATTATAAATGACTAAGACTCTATGGATGCTCACAACAATCCAGTGCTCAGAATGAACTAAAGTGACAGGCTGACCACAGCGACGGTGTGTTTGACTGTGAACGATACGCCCAGCAACTACATCAATGAGGTAGAGTGACAAAGAATTGGCCTGGGCAGCCGCATCACCACCGGCAGTCAGGACAGCCAAAAGGTTTGGATTCACGTATTTGTAAAGCACATTTCGATCACCAAGTACGCGGCCAATCGAATGCATGTGTTCTGAATAGGCCAGGTTACATTACAAGAAAGGGGGAAAAATAAGTAAATATAAGTAAATAAATAGCTAATGGTAATTAAAATCCTTTAAAGAGTAAATAAGTGCATGATCAGAAACAATAACACCAAGGCCTCATAGGAGAACATATAGCGTTTAATAACTGCCAGGATTATGCAATCCCATATCTTTGGCCTGAGGTAGAAATAAATAAATCAGATAAAAATAAAGGATATACAAATACAGATGGCATGCATAAAAGGACTTTTTCCATACTAAAATTCTGGAAAAATAGAAAAGATGCGATATTTCAATGCTGGTAAACCATTCATCTCATTTGAAGAGATGAGTGAAGAGGATCTTTGCTGAGCCTTTGCCCGTCAATTGGAAGGCGCCATGCTTAAGGACAATTAAATAAAACATGAAAGCAAGAAAAGTAAAAGGCTGCAATCCTACCTACTTTATGGAGCTTAATTAGGTATCTCATGATTCGTATGTAGGTAGAAAAACTGGGGTCTCTTCATATATTGATATTAGAGTACTGTACATCTGGTTTGAAGAAGCGAGTTGGAGGGATTCATAAGTTTGTAGCACCGGAAACTGT